TTTTTCCATTCTCAGCGGGGTATTTATACGAATGGAAATAGTGACAATAAAAAATAGAAATGAAGAAGGATTATGAGACGTGTGAGTGTTCTGAAATGCGATATGATGAAATAGTCGCATCACCAAGAGTGCACTTTATTTTTTTCTTCGTGAAAATTTGTATAGACGAGTGTATGCACGGCCGTGTACCTTTTTTTATAATTTTTTTTATCAGAATCATAAATAATGTATGTCTTTGAAGGAATCCTTTTTCGTTTGGTCATGAAGATGTGCGTAATGAAGAGAAGTGTTCGAGGAAATTTATGTAGAGACATGCATGCACGATCGTGTTTCTTTGTTTATATGTTTTTTATCAGAATCCTAAATAATGTATGTCGTTGAAGGAATCCTTTTTGGTTTGGTCATTAAGATGTGCGTAATGAAGAGAAGTGTTGGTGGGAATTTGCATAGGCATGTGCATGCACGATCGTGTTTCTTTGTTTATGTAGTTTTGTAATGGGAATTATAAGTAAGTGATGTCGTTGGAGGAATGGGTTTTCGTTTGTTGAGGGGGATGTGTGTAATGGCGGTAAGATGAATGGGAGGTAATTGTTTAGTAGCGTGATATCAGGGAGTGTAATTGGGAAGGAAGGCATATGATGAAATTTGATCGTCCGCGTAGGAAGGAAGAATCAGCGTTGTGAGGGAAAGCGGAGTTACATGTGGAGTTGGTATTAGGTGTGAGGGACGGTATTGTTTTTTTTTTTTTTGTGAGGTGGGAAACCTTCAACAGGCGCCCGTTAGGGCAGTGCGAGACTTTAACCCGCTAAAAACCACCCCTTCTATCCCCTACCCTGTGGCACGACCGTTTAGGTATACCTTGACAGGGAGGGTAGCCGTTTAGGCACTACTTAAAAGCCTACGTTGACGCTCTTCTTGTCTTTGCTTTCGCATAATGTTTGCGGCGAACATTCACACCGCCTTCCATATATTCAGGTCGTGCAACATATTTGTCACAAGATTGTCGGGGAGAGGTAAAACTCCAATTTCCGTCTGTAGTCTCTGTCGTTCGTTATAGTATTTCGGACAGACAAAAAAAACGTATTCAGCGTCTTCGATGCACTTACAAAAACTACAGAATGGGTCCTGTTCTATTGTAAACCTATTCAAATATGACCTAAAGCAGCCATGGCCGCTAATTACCTGTGTCAAATAAAAATCAAACTCACCATGTTGCCTATTCACCCAGGGCCGTAAATCTGGTATGAGTCGCTGCGTCCACCTACCCTTACCCGCTCTGCTCCAGCGCTCCTGCCACTCTTCCACTAATCGCTGTTTTGCACGCTGCCTAGCTGCATCAGCCGACAGTCTGTGAAATTTGGCTCTGTATAGGCCTTCTTTAGCACGCAGGTCGATTGGCATCATGCCAGCGATGACCATGGCCGCATTTTCCGACACCGTCCGATATGCGACGCACACCCTTAGGGCGCATAGCCTGTATGCTGCTTGTATGTCTTTCGTATATGCCGGTATAGCGAAAGCCTTTTTCCACACAGAAGAGCCGTACATTATCGTCGCAGTTACCACCTCTGCGATCAGCTTTCTACGGTCTTGCCTAGGGCCACGGAAGTTTGGCAGTATGCAACGACTTTGCTACCTTCGCAGCCTTTTCGCCCGTGTATTTCAGATGCTGTTTAAACGATAGTCTACAGTCTATCATCACTCCTAGACATTTTATGGCTTCTTGAGACTGTATCCTCTTATCTCCCACCTGGATAGTCACTTTCTCCATTTTCTTCCTAGAAGAGATTAATACCGCTTCTGTTTTCTCATCCACTAGCTCTAAATCCACTGACCGCAGCCACCTCTTGATCATGTCGGTGGTTTTATTCGCTGTAGTGGTAATACCCTCCAGAGTTTTCGCCACGATAGTTATCGCTATGTCGTCAGCAAAACACACGATGGATGCTCCCTCTGGGAGAGGTAGTCTCAGGATATCATCGTACATTACGTTCCACAGTGTAGGGCCTAGGACTGATCCTCCAGTGATCAGCCTCTCTCTGCACCCTTTATCTGTAACATATCTCAGTTTCCTGCCAGTAAAATAACTAGCCACTATATTTATCAGATACGGTGGGACTCTTCTTTCCTGTAGGGCAGCTACGACGCAATACCAGTTTGCTGAGTTGAATGCATTCTTAATGTCTAATGCTATTACTAAGCAATACTTTTTATTGCCTTCCATCCATCGTGTACCTTTAATCACTTCTGCTGCGGTATTTGTGATCATTTTTATTGCATCCATTGGGCTTTTCTTCTTCCTGAAGCCGAATTGAAAGTCCGACAGCCCTTTAGATCTCTCCAGAGATGCTTCTAAACGATTTCGGATGATCTTTTCGTACACCTTTCCTATCGTATCCAATAGACAAATAGGGCGGTATGCATTTGGAACATGCGACGGCTTATTTGGCTTTGGCAGCAACACCTTGTTGTTCTTTCAAACAAGCATTGAATGTGCTCGCAAACATATCAGTCCTTGCCAACAAAGCTTGCTTAATAGCGCAATTAGGGATACCATCAGGGCCCGCCGCTTTCTTGGCTTTTATTTCCTTTGCCATGGCAGCAATCTCCTCAGGGCCGGTGAGATTAATGTTGTCACTCTCCTCGCTCAGTGGCACATACACGAACATGGCTTTCTGTGGGAACAGTGTGCCAATTATTTCTTCCACAAATTCTGCACAGCTTGGTTGCTCTGAATACGTTAATTTCTTCATTACCAGCTTATACGCCGTCCCCCATGGGTCCTCATTAATCTCATTAATCAGTTTGTGGAAACAGTTCTTCTTGCTGGAAATTATCGCTTTTTTTAAGAGCCTTCTCCTGAGTTTGAACTCTTCTTGGTGGCTGAGATAAGCAATAGTCCCTCTCGATCTTTGGTGGACCCGCCTCGCTCTGTTACAATGAGACCTTAGTTCGGCTATCTCGTCTGTCCACCAGTATACTGGCTCCTTGGTCTTATAGAAGCAACGTCTTGTCATTGAGCCGTCACAGGCTTTTATAATCCGTGCTAAAACCTCAGCAACTGCAGCCTGAGCTGAGTTTCTGGGTTCTGCTTCTTCCAGAATATGTTCGAAGAGTTGCTTGTCAAGAGATTCTGGTTTCCATTTGGGTCCCCTGAGACGTAATTTCACCCTGTTCGCCCGCTGGCTTTACTTCAGTTCCCAGATTATTGCTGCGTGGTCACTGTGTGTATATATGTCACTAATACCCCATTCTATACGCAAGGCCAATGCACTACTGGCCTTGGTAATATTAATCGCGGAGCCACGACCGTCTCTGTTGAAGGTTTTTTCATTAAGATTGTTTAAGATTGTCATATCCAGTGAGGCTAGGGATTCAAGCACTATTTTGCCTTTAGCGTTCGTCCACTTGCTACCCCAATCAGTCGCCCAGGCGTTAAAATCGCCGGCGAAAATTACAGGCGTTTTCCCCCATGCGTCGGTAAGTAGCCCATCTATACGTTTTTCGAATTCCGCGTGGTTTATGCTTGGCGGGAAGTAGCAGCTATAAAGGTAAACTTCTCTATATTTGACACAAACGAAGCCCTCCCCTGCTGAGATAAATCTCATGGTTGGCGAGTGCAAGCTGCATTGCCCGGGGATGGTATTGTGTGTGGGTATGTGTTAGGGCATGTGTGGCTTTGGATGTGCGGTCATGTGATGAGAGCGGAGAAGTGTGCGGACGTCGTTCCCCCATATATGTACTACTATACGGAAAGGCCAAAAAATTGTGATTAGCAAAAAAAAAAAAGGTCCTTTGTGTTCCGGGCCAAAATTCGCGTCGACGTTCCCACGTATATATACTACTAGTGTTTAAGACTGTTTAAGACTGTTTAATAGGGTTTTATATAGTTTCCATGTTCAATTCCGCTAATTTTCAAAGTGGCTAGGAGTGTTTAAGACTGTTTAATAAGGTTTTACATGTTTTCTATGTTGAACACCGCTAATTTTTCAAAGTGGTTAGGAGTGCTTGAGACTGTTTAAAACTGTTTAAGACTTTTTAATAAGGTTTTACATGGTTTCTACGTTGAATTCCGTTATTTTTTCAAAGTGTTTAAGACTGTTTAAGAATGTTTAATAAGACTTTATATGGTTTCTATGTTGAATTCCCCCATTTCTTCAAAGTAGTTAGGACAGTTTGAGACTGTTTAAGACTGTTTAATAATGTTTTACATGGTTTCTATGTTGAATTCCGCTAGTGTTTAGAAGGATTCACGGCTGTTTAAGACTGTTTATTAAGATTTTCCATGGTTTCAATGTTCAATTCCGCTATTTTTTCAAAGTGTTTAGTATTGTTTAAGACTGTCTAATAAGGCTCTATATGGTTTCTATGTTGAATTCCACTAGTTCTTCAAAGTCGTTAGGTGTGTTTAAGACTCTTTAAGACTGTTTAATAAGGCTTTATATTGTTTAACAAGATTTTACATTGTTTCTATGTTGAACTCCGCTAATTTTTCAAAGGGGTTAGGAGTGTTTAAGACTGTTTAATAAGGTTTTACATGGATTCAATGTTTAATTCCGCTATTTTTTTAAATAGTTTAGAAGTGTTCAAGGCTATTTAAGACTGTTTAATAAGATTTTACATTGTTTCTATGTTGAACTCCGCTAATTTTTCAAAGGGGTTAGGAGTGTTTAAGACTGCTTAATAAGATTTTACATGGCTTCAATGTTGAATTCC